GGAGGAATATGGGTTACCGTAATTTGCCGACATTTAACATGAAAATAATTTTGAAAGGCTAATAATAAATAAATTCATAAACACAAAACAAAGAATTTTACATCTACAATTTCAGTATGTTTTGGTTTTATAGACGCACAATATAGTTCCACTTATAGTTTTTTCCCCATTAACTACTGTTTTTAATCATTTAAGTTAATGAAAAGGTGTTTGTTATTTCCTTTATTTTAGTTAACAGTATTAACCTTAGCAGGCTCGTTATCTGTCAGCCAACAGAGAAAACTTACACAGGTATTGGAGCGGCTTCGTGTGCGGCGTTTTATAACGGCGCACACGAATAACTACTTCCTGTTGTCTTCTTTGTCGCTTTCGGCAGTAGTAACATCCTGTAGCTGATCAGGTGTGATGCGAATAAATCGTTTCTGTTGCAGTTTTGCAAAATAAATCAACTTTGATGTGGCTGAAAAAGCACATCGTCTAGCACAAAAATGTTTTGTGTGTCAAAATTGCCATATTTCCATTCGGCAAATTTATTTTTGTAATTTCATTTTTCTGCAATTTTATGGTTAATGGAAACACAGCTACTGTTGGTCAATTTAGGACCGATTCAGCTTTTACTACTGGACTGAAACACACAGAATCACTCACTTTGCTCCTCTGGAGAACAACAGGAAGACGTGTGGACTTACCCGTGCCCCCTCTCTGCACCACCAGGCTGGCCTCTGCCCCCACTGCACACTCCTTCAGCAGCTCCACCACCTGCGTGTGGGTGAATCCGGCCACTGCCTGCTTGTTTATCTCCAGGATCAGGTCACCTTCGCACAGACCCGGACAGCCCTGAGGCTCCAGGACTTGCTTGACGCGCTGACCCGTCAGACTGTCTGCGATCGTGAAGCCGAACCCGTCCACGCCCTTCACCATCGTCACCGTCAGCAGCTCCCCTTGGGTTGCCCCCGACGACGCCATGGAGACGCTGTCAGGCGGCGTGGTGCCGGTGGTGGCCGGGAGCGAGCCGTCCAGGTGCGTGTCGCCTGGGTGAGCGCCGAGAAGTGGCGGCTGCTGGGAGTTGATGTGGTCCTGACTGGGGTCCGTGACGAAGCGCGCCGTACGCGTCAGGTAGTCCAGGTAGTTATCGTAGCCGGTTCTGCCGTTCACCATGATGGGCCGCTGCTCCATGATGCCCAGCGGGGAGATGATGGTGGTAGTGGCGTTGTTGGTGTTGGAGGCGTCCTCTGGGTCGTACGGTAAAGGGTAGCCGCGACACAACACGAGCGTCACGCTCTGACCAATGGGAACCGACTGGAAGAGTTTAACCACGTCAGCGTGGGTCGTTCCCAGAACACAGACGTCGTTAATGTAGACGATGACGTCCCCTACGGAAAAACAAAAACACAGACAAAGTCAAGTGTAGCCTAGGGCTGAAACGATTAATCGTGTTGAATTGATTACTGAAATAATCAATTCAGATCTGCAGGGTGACCGTCACCATTCTCGAGAGTTCCACATTTATGCCTTCACCTTTGACGACTGTGAAGTCCTGGGAATTCCAGAAGAGCTTGTGTGCCCTGTGGACGGCCTGGTACTTCACTGCCGGCAGAAATCGTAATTCGTGGGCACGGAAGCCCGCAACAAGGGCCTCTTGCGGGTCCCTCCTGGCCTGAATTACAATTTCGCGGGCTCGTCCAAAGGTGAGTGGAGCAGGGAAACAGTTCTTAGTGCAAAGTTCCTCAGCGAATGTGTCCAGGTTGATAACACCAGTAACTCTCCCAGGGGTGGTATCCCCCTTGAGAGAACTGTACGGGATGTTATCATTCCTCCTGAACACATCACAGAGGAACAGATGCACTAAGGCAGCCCCAAGGACAGAGGGTACTGCCTCCAGCACCTGACAGAGGAAAAATGCGCTCCAGATGGTACATCTGGAGCGCATTTCTCATCCAGTGGTGCAGAGGGGGTGGCACCTCACCAGCACTGGCGGCAGTGTGGGGGGCCAACCCAATAAAGCCCGTCCTATAGGTGAGGCTCTTTGGGTTGGACGTGCTTGTTCCAAGGCTGGCGCTCAGCTGGAAGTCCGACACTGAAAGAGGATGCCCGAAGAACATCTCTTCCAATGCCAGTTCAAACTGGTAGGACTTCCAGCTAGCATCAAACCGTGCCACCCCCTCTCAGGTGGAGAACTGTTCCCTCAATCCCTGCTCCAAGTATTCCAGCACCCTCCTGAGAGTGACCATGAGGTCGTGGTCTCTCCCAGAGTCATTGAAGGGTATGACTAGAGCGTTATCCATGAAGAGCATTCTCAGTGCCTCGCGGCAAAAGAAACTATTCGGGGAAAGCTCCCCCGGAATCTCACCCTCAAATCGCCGTACCTGTTCCACCCTTCTTTCCCTAAGGGTGGAACAGGTACCCCTAAGGTCCTCCATGTGGTCCAGGTACTGCTCAGCACGTGCTATCAAGGCACGCTGAAACTGAGGGTGAGAAAGCCGGGACGTCATGACCGCTCCACTGACCGGGTGCCGGAATGGAAATTGTATGTGGACATGAGGGCTGTCCACATACATCTGCACAAATGTCAGGGTGCCCGAGTCTCCCAATGCGTCCACCAATGTCGGCGCCAGGTCCAGTTTGCGACGACCAAGGTCGCTCTGGAAATTGGTGGCCTCATGGATGCCTAGTACCGAGTAAAGAGACCCATGAGGTCCAACTAATTCCATCAGACCTTGGCGCGCAAACAATAAGTGGACGCTGGGATCTCGGGCATCGACCTGCACGGCAGAATGGATGGACAGGGACACCACGGCTGACGGATCGACAAAATCTGTCAAGTCCAGGGTGTCCCTGTCCTTCTGCCCAAACCGGGTCAAAAACAGGCGAGGCTGGAGGAGGTGGCTCTCGCCTGTTTTGGCAATGGCTTGATCCAAAAGATCAAGTATGAACATTTGGTCCTTGTGGAGTACATGAAATTTCTTGGTGTTAGAGTACACCTGCTTTTGGACGGTGGGTCTGGCCATGTCTTTGGCCGGAAGTGCCTTCAGGAGCATGTGAAAATGGAAAACAATAAAATTAAACATTTCGCAGGCATACACCTCGAAAAGGGTCTTTTTCAAGAGCCTGGTGTCTGGCTCCTGAAGGCACTTCGGGATGAAGATGATGGACAGGTGATACCCACCGTCCACGTGTCCAATAGTGTAGCCACTGCGGTTCTTGAACGCCTTCAGACCAGCAGGGCTACAATTTGTCAGGTCCACGTGCTTCTTCAGGAAAAAGTAACTGTCCTGAAGCATGTGGACCTGAATCGATGGCAACAAGAGATGGTGGACAAGAGACTGGAGGGCTGTAGCCCGCTCCAGCTCTGCCACCACCCCATCGATGTCAAACCTGAACTTTAGTGACTGTTCAGGGTCACCAACATATGTGGCATGGAAGGGATGTGCGACATCTGCTTCTAAAAAGGAAGAGAGGGACCTGAATGCAGAGACCGACTCACTCAAGGTCTCTGAATTCAGGATCCCTACTTCCACCAAGTCATTCTCATATTGGGCCATGATGTGTTTTGTTCTGTTATGAAAATGTAATGAACTGTGAAAGTATGTGACAGTGAATATTTGAATGTAATATGGTTTCTAATATTGTGTTTTTAATTTAAATTTGTGGTGTAATATACTAATTAATGTGAAATGTTGTTTAATATGTTGTATTGTGTATTTCTATGTGCTAGGAATTAACTGGAATGGAGATGTGGAGTGTCGAGGAGGTAAATGCGAAATGAGATAAAGAAAAGTGAAATGTCACTATTTAATGTGTTATTTTGTGTTATGGAATTTTAATGTGTTTTGTAATACTTTATTAATGTAATTGTCTTTCTATTAGCAGGTTGGAATTAGAACACCATATTATGTAAAGGTAAGTATTTAATAGGTTCAGGTAAGTATTTATTAAGATAAGTTAAGTAATTATTAGTGGCATGCAGGTAGGTTGGGACAAAAAATGATATATACATTTACGTATTCGGGAGGAACCCCTGAGTAAGGAAATTAAAGAAATATTGCTGAATAATAAATCGCGAAAAAGTTATTGCGATAATTCTAGATCACATATATCTATACTATGAACCCCTGCAAACTATACATCTGCGGACGCGGGAGGCCGCCCTGATCAAGAATACGTGGTTTCCGACGCAGAAAAACGTACCGTTTGCGAGTCATCGCGAAAAAACTCGAAAAAATGCTAACATTACGTAAATGTTTGTGGCATGCAGGTAGGTTGGGACAAATAATGATATATACATTTAGTACTATTAATAACTAGTAGTACTACTAGTTATTAGTACTACTAGTACTAATAACTAGTAGTGGTTACTACTAGTTAGTAGTAATCACTAATCACTACTAGATTAGTAATTACTAATCTAGTAATCGATTAATTGTTAACAGACTCAAATTCCTTATGTGGCAAGAAACAATTAATCGGATTAATAGGGTTGAATCAATTATTGAAATAATCAATATAATCATATAATCGTTAACTGGAGTATACAGATTCAAAAACAGTCAAAGTTTAAATGAAAAATATGCAGAATTTTTTATCAAATTAATCGAATAATCAACAGATTAATCGATAATCATTACTTGCTGCTCTCATATAATCATCTTCTAATGCTGAACTTTCTTCAACAAAATATCTAATTTAAGTTCAAATGACTAGTTTGACCTTGAGATGTTATTTTTGTCAAAAAGTCAAATTTTGTTGATTGCAATTGATTTGTTAAAGCAATAAAAAAAGCAATAAAAAGGGTAAAACATTCAAACATTTAGAAACTATTCGTTTTGGCAATAGTGTTTAGATTTAAGGGATTTTACGATGCAGCATGTCACAAAAAACTTTTTTTAAGGTAAAACATAAAAAGCAACACTGAAGGTTATCACTGATCATCAGAAAAGCACAGGTATATTTCTCCCAACATAAAAGTTATGGCATAAATGTAGGCAGGAAGTCAAAAATCAAAAAGGAAAAAGCAGAAAGGAGTCACTTAAGAGGTTGAAAAACAAGATAAGACAATCAAATAAGAGCTAATGTGGGCTCATTTACATATAATGAGCAAAACAAAGGCACAAATTATATAAACCAATTAAATGGGGAGAGAAAAATCAATGCAATTTGCCGTTTCAGTAAAGCTATGATACTAGCCATCAGATTCTAACTGCAAAACGAGTTAAAGCTCAGTTATGTGTCAGCTGTTTACAGTGACAGATGTATCCATGCACACGTTTCGTGCCATAAACACAGATAAACAAAAATAATCTCTTGTCTGCCTTTCCTGCGTAAAAGGGTAAAGATGACAGGTGGCCATAAGTGTTTGCCTTTTATGGCTTCCAGAGCTTTTATTTGCTCACTGCAGTGTAGATAAAACCTAGCAGACAATTAAATGTTCCCACACAAAAGGACGCCACATGCAGCCGCATCCCTGTCTCCAACTCTTTGCTAAATATAGTGTTTTACGCTCCACAGTGGAGGCGCTGGGCGACTGGGAACAATAAAACCAATCCTTATAAAGGGCAGGCGCTCAGCATTACCTGCTTATTTTCTAATTATAGGCAAACTGTCGGGATTTCTAGAAAGTGTTGCGAAGCTTTCTAACCAGTCAGTTGCATGAGAAGATAATTCATCCAATATTTATGGATTAATTGTTAAAGTGAAGCAAAAAGGTTAAAGCCTCTGAGCGACAGAAGTGAATGTGATCTCTCACTGTAAACGGAGTCGCATGCAAACGATTTCTGGTTTGTCTGCTGGTACTGGCAGAAAGAGCACACACCTAGAGGCGGCGTGACGTGAGGGACTTTTTAATTAATCAGGGTAAACGCGGCCGACATTTGCCTTGAGCGTTTGTGTCACAATCAATAGCCGGGTGCGCTGGCAGAAAACAAATGATGGTGCGGTGACCTCGCTCTCGCCGTGTGTCTCAGTTTGTGGCCAGACAGAAAATGCAGACAGACAGGAAGCAGCAACACATGTAAGAGGTATGAGCTGGAATCCAAGCATCTGCACTGATGACCGCTTTAAATTCATGATATTACGACTATTTTAGTTATCGATTAATCGATTATTCTGATGATTAATGGGGGACAAAATGGGCACATTCTGCAAATGTTTCACTTGAGCCTTTTTATACTATATTAGAAAGGCATTAAAAGATGTAAATAAATAATTAAATTCAATTTTGAAATAAGAAAACAATTTATTGTCTAAAATTCAACAGCAGCATTCCTTTAGTGAATGGAGCTACAAAACATTTCTAACGCAACCCTTTCTGCTTGACTTAACATCAGCACGGTGAAGGGATGATCTGTTGATTACTTTTAGGATTGCCAATAAATAA